CTCTATTCATTAAGTTGGTCTCCTGTGCTCTGCTAGCGTGCTCCCTGCTGGGAGTAATTAGGATTCTTATATAATAATAATTCCTTGTGTTTAGATGCAGCCTTTCTCTAAGGACCTCTCAGACATTAGCTCATCTGCTCTTTTAACACAATTGCCTCATGAAGTAGGTGCTAATTATTCCCATTATGAAGACCAAACTACTAAGGCTTGTCCCTACTCCCCCTCCCCACCTCCATGCCCCCAGGTAACACAACTGCCAGGAAGCAAATTAAAGTCACCTGATAGCTTACTGTCCTACCCTCCACCCATCTATGGTGCCATGAGAGATTTCTTTAGATGGCATTTCCCTGCATTGTCAAACCTCATTTCACATTGGGCCAGTCACTCCTTCACTGAACAGCAACCCTCTCACACTGTGACTACAGTGAAAAGTCAGAGCATCATTTCACCCCTCCTCAGCACAGCGTTAGCCTGTAGAATAGATGGCCTTATCTAATAGATGAGTCAACGCAGGTGAGTTAAACACATACTGCTGTACAGAAGAGTCTCCTTTCAGCACTGCCCCTCCTACTTTATCCCCTCCTACCAGCCCTACCCCAACTCTGCACCACATAGAGCCCTTGCAGGTGGCAAATGGAGTTGTGCCGAGTGGTAGCTTGCAGTGTCCACTGGGATTCCTCTGCATGGATTACTTCCCTGATTTGAACTTGAGGCCCTGCCCCTTTTTCCTCTCTCCACCTCCTCAGAACTCACCTACACCATACCATATAGAAAGCCATTTGCTAATAACTAGTATATGTCTGGGACAAGTAGAAAAGGTCAAAAGCTATATACATATGACCAGATAAGATGAAGTCAAGCAAAATGAACCCCAAGATAGGGATACAAGTGGTTCTTTTCTTTCTTGCTATGGTTTCTAACGTATTTATAAGGTACCGTGTGATTTTGTTGTTGTTGTTGCTTTGTATGTCCCTCACCCATGGTATAATCCCTGTTTTCACTGTATTTGATGTTGGTATAATTTGGGTAGGGGAAGGGAAAAAACAAAATGTTTAAATAGGGATACAGGTTGACCCATTGCAACAATGAGATGTACAAGACGCTATGTTGAAAAACGAACTTTGCAATTGGGGGGGGGGTAATAGTTGTGGAGGTGGTAGGGAAGGGATGATAGGGGAAAAAAGGAGGAGGCAACAATTCTTGATAAGAAATGTACTTATTACCTTGTTCATGTAACTGTAACCCCTCTGTACAGTATTTTCACAATAAAAAACTTATTTTTAAAAAAAGAAATGTTGGGAGATGAATAAAAAAAAAAAGGCATTTGCTAGTCTCCATGCTCAATAAGTTGAAGTCCCAGCATGGATAGCTCTTAAGTTAAAGTGTCATTATGGTTGCCTTTGCAGTTAATACCTACTGTCCTATCCAGACACAGTTACAGAATGTTTGGACTTTTTTTTCTTTCCTTTTATCTATGTCCTTAAGGTAGTTCACTATCCAGATCCCATACAATGAAATTACTATTTTCTAAAGACAGAAAAAATACCTTTTGAATAAGTTAATTGCTGTTTATAATTAGAAACAGTTTGTAAGAAAGCTAAATAAATAAGGTCAGCTGGACTTTTTCCTGAGTAAATCCATTCTCAACATAATTTCTTTGTTGCTCTGTGAAGCCATGAAAATAGAAAGAGGATCCTGGGGCATGACACAGAAACAAGTGGATCAGCGCACACCAGAGGTTTCTCTGGACTCCTTAAGTTCTCCCTTAACATGAAGATGGATGATGAGAGAGAGCAGTGTTCTGTTGACAGGACCAACCCCCTCTAACTTTCCCAGATTCACTTTTTCCTTATTGATTTGCAGTGGTTAAAAATTCTGTGGTATATTCTGTGGTCTGATCCCCAGTTGGCGTGAGTGCTTTCAGTGTGAAGGTCGTGTTGAACTGGTGTGTTTGCATTTTACTACCAGGAGGCTGTGCTATAAACAATGGGATTGGGATGCCAGCATGAGCCAGGGGATGAAATTTTATTTTAAATCTGAAATGCTGTGTAAGCATTTAAGTTATGAGTCGTAATTGTTTCCCAACAGCTTCCATTAGATATGGTTTATTTACAGCTTAGCCTCTTCGCAGGGTTGCAGGGCAGTATTAACACACAAGCTACTGCATATCATTTACATTTTTAGGACAGTAGTAAAGGAAATTGACCATAGATTTTCAGAGTTCTTAGCATGGGAGTGGAATGCATGCTTCAGTGTCCAGAAAGAAGTTTTAATTTTTCATTAGAAAATAAGCAACTCCCCACTTCATGGACTTGCATACTTCTGAAACAGAAATACCAGAAGAAAAAAAAGAAACGAGAAAGAAGAAGTCTGATTCCAAGATTGAGAACTCTCTTTTACTCTTAATGAATTCAGTCAAATACAAACTTTAAAAAAATCATCTGTCTAATTTGAGATTCGAGATCGTCAAATTCTGTCTAAATATTTTGTTTTAACTTCTAAGCTCATTACGGCCTCTTTGTGTTAACTTGTATTAAAATCTGTCAGCTATGACTGGTCTCATAAGCACAGTCAGCGGACCAGAATAAGTTAATTATTTACTTGTGTCGCCAGTGCTCTTCATCTAATGAAATGCACAGCTGTGTTAGATCTGCGGTTGGATGTGTAGCTCCCATTGTTCCACAAGTCAGCAGAGGGTAGAAGCCGCAATGATGGAGAGCCCTCAGTTCTTTCTGCTGTTCTGGCTTTCTGTGTCGATTTCATGGATCTTTTATCATTCACTTTCACACAAAACAAACAACACAGGGCTGTCTGCTATGGGAACCATCTTGGCATATAAAAGGGTTTTCACAGCTTAAAGTAATTTTAAGTTAGCGAAGATTTAATTTTTGGCTTACAGGTGCCCTTGGTTCAGATACAGCCATAGCCAATCCTAGAATAGAACAAAAAAAGTGAAAGCTACTTATGGTTTTTTTTTTTTACAAAGTGTCAGAAAAAGGCAGATTAAAAAAAAAATCTGCCTGGAAAGGAAGTTCTGTACTAAATATTAATCAGATTTCAAGGAAAGTTATTAGATGCCGGTTTCAGGGGAGTGAACACTTCTTTCATTTTTAAGAACATAACGAATCTGAATTGGCTTTATTAAATGTGTCCACTAAAACCGAAAGACAGAACGCAAGTCATGCGTCTCCCCAGCCTCCCGCGGCCTGAGTCCATGCCTTGCGCTTGCTGGGTCAGCTTTCAGAGGCCCTGTTGATCATTCTCACCTTCTCTTGTTGGAGGCCAGGACCAGCAGCTCCTCGCAAGCCCCGGCTGGCATTCTCCTGTGAATGTGGCTGAAGTGGTGCGGCGTTTTCTTTTTCAGGGGTACAACTGAACCGTCCATCTCCTTGCCAGGCAAAGCTGTATTCTTGCCGGACATCCCAGGAGTGCCATTTTCAACATTGTGTTCACTACTAACAATGTTGTTGTCCATGCACCTAGATTTACAGTTGGACCTCTTTCAAAGTAGATTTCCCGGTAGCCTTAGGAGTTTATCAGATAACTTCAGTGTGGATCATCAGATGGATGTTTTTTTGGAGGGAAGAGGAAAGGTTCGCACACTGGGCTTGATTGAAATTCTAACACTGTAGCTGAATTCAAAATAAAGTAGATGGAGTGATTGTTACAGTCTTCCTATAGGAAAGCACAGGTACATACAATAAAACCATTCCGACCAAAAAGCTAATTAAAATAACTACGTGTTCTAGAATTCAACTCCACAAACCTAATTACCATCTTGTTGGCAGAAGTCAGAATATTAATAACCAATATTAAATAAGCAGATGGCATTCTTTCCCTTTAGATTGTAGCTCCTCATGACTGAAACAAACAGAGATTTCATTTTAAAGTAGTGTGAGCAGTGAAGGATGTAGCTCCATCATAGAACAGTTGCTTGGTGTGCTGTGAAGGCCCTGCATTTGATTCCCAGCACCACAGTAATACTACTAGTAATAATCATAATCATAGTAAAGTAATTTGAACTATTACACAGGAGTCAAACAGTGGAGATTTTCAACTGCTGATAACCTCACACGTAGGGAAAAGGAATTTTCTCTAACTGCCATAAGAAAACACTATTTTTCCTAGTTCATTGCCATTGAACACTGGTTTTCCAGTTCTAAATTGTGTAGATTGTGGTTAAAAATCCTAATTGTACTTTTTTCCTTCTCCCAAGGGGGGACAAAAAACCCAGAAGAAGTAAAAACTACTTATCAACAAAATCTCCTACAGCTTAGAGTAAATTTAAGAGCACATAAGTATTGGGGGTAGGGTTGGTAGGTTTTGTTTTATTCTGTTTTCATTCTTGAAGTTTCATTTCTAATTTTACCTTTCCAAGTAGGATTTAGCATTTTCCATCAAGGTAATTTTTCTCATTTGTTATACACTGTCAGTTCCTTAAGGCAGTTTAGGTTTTAGATTCTTGCCAGAAAAAAAAATCCCTGGCAAGAATCAGCCAAGCAACCTGTGCTGAACAGCCAACAGGTAGACCTGTTAGCTCATCAACCACTTTTTGTCTTCTTTTTCTTGAAACTACATTTTACATATACCCTCTTATTCAGTCAGGCCTGTGTTTTGTAGTCAGAGAGTTTGAATTCTTCTGATTTGGGTACTGAACTAGAAGATCGTGAAATTGCTGCCAACTTAAAGCTGAGGGGGTATTGACAGGACCAGGCCCAGGGCAGTCGCTTCTCTTCAGTCTTGGTGGCTCAGGAGGGTGGGCAAGCAGCCTGACAGCACCATTGTGTGCCAGGCCAGTGCTTTTCTTCGAGGAGAGTCACTTTTGAGCTGATTGTCTAGCAGAATAACTGTTGGAAATTGCTTTTGTTACTGTGGATAGAGACCAGGGGAAGGTTTTAGAATAGTGGAAATAGAGATAACAGCAGGGAGATTCCAATTAAATACTGTATTCTTCCTTTCTGCCTGTTTGCTTTCCGGGCATGAAATCTTCTCTCCCCCAGGTGTTTGTGGTTTGATCGTCCCCCAGGAAGACATGCCATTTTGTGATTCTGGCATCTGTCCGGACATCATAATGAACCCACACGGCTTCCCATCGAGAATGACGGTCAGTTACCTTGGGGCTTTTCAGAGACACTGCTTTGAAGGAGAAAAGCGGGCAGTTTAGTGACAGTGAGCGCAGGCAGTAGGAACTACCTTTGACAGCTTTCTCCCCGCCCCTCATTCTGGACCACTGTCCTCTGCAGAGGCAGTGGCCTAGAGCTGCACTCAGTCTCCTGAGTAGTGTGTGCCCTTTGGCACAGAGAACCCCATGGGTGGAACCTATACCATCTCCCTCCCATTGGGTACCCTCTGTCATTCTGGCCCCGCCTCAGACCAGCTGTGCGGCCTTGGGCAAGCTGCTTAACTTCCATACTTCAGTTTCTTCATCCAGTCACTGAGAAAATAATCCTAAAATTAGAGCACATGTATCAGGCTACTTCATCAGAACCTGTTACACAGCAAGAGATAATAAATATTGCTGCTGTTAAGTTTATCACTACTATTCAGTCATGGTAGCTGAGAAATGAGCAAAGAGAATGTCTGTACCACCTACCACCGTGAGGGACTCATTGAATCGTTCCCATCCCTCAGGTGGGAAAGCTGATCGAGCTGTTAGCCGGCAAGGCAGGAGTGTTAGACGGCAGGTTCCACTATGGCACTGCGTTCGGAGGAAGCAAAGTGAAGGACGTGTGCGAGGACCTCGTTCGCCATGGCTATAACTACCTGGGGAAGGACTACGTCACATCAGGCATCACAGGGTGAGTGCCGAGGAGCATTCTAAAGAAAAGAATGGTTAGCCAGTGGCTCACGCCTATAATCCTAGCTACTCGGGAGGCTGAGATCTGAGGATCACAGTTCAAAGGCAGCCTGGGCAGGAAAGTCCGTGAGACCCTAATCTCCAATAAACCACTAAAAAACTAGAAGTGATGCTGTGGCTCCAGCACTTGCCTTGAGCTGAAGAGCGCAGGGACAGCGTCCAAGCCCAGAGTTCAAGAAAAGAATGGTTTGGTTAAGAGGTAAGAGCCTTGTAGATGTGTGAAGCTCGAAGGTGCCAGCTTTCCCGGCTCTCCTTTAAGCCCTAAGAAGTAAACCAGTGCTGTTTTAAGAGTTCTGATCCAGAAAAATCTGGATTTAGAGAACTGATCAATTGAGAAAGGCTAGTTGTGTTGACAAGACTACAGTTTAAAATTTTGGGAAGATTTGATTTCACAGATACCTATTATGGAATGCTCATTGGACATAACACAAATGGTTTCCTTAAGGGTTGAATTTCCTTTGCTTCTCAGTGGCCACGCCTACCTTGACTACCTAATCTAAGGTAGTTTTAATAGCAGTCTGGTTACTTGGCAGTGCTGGTTCAAACCTAGGGTCTCATGAATGGTAGGGGTGTTTTACCACTGATCTATATCCCAGCCCAGTGACTACTTCATTCACAGCTACCACCTAGCCAGGTGCCGGTGGCTCATGCCTGTAATCCTAGCTACTTGGGAGGCTGAGATCTGAGGATTGGGGCTTGAAGCCAGCCTTGGCAGGAAAGTCCATGAGACTCTATCTCCAATTAATCACAGAAAAGGCCAGAAGTGGTGCTGTGGCTCAAGTAGTAGAGTGCTAGCCTTGAACAAAAGGAGCCTAGGGACAGCACCCAGGCCCAGAGTTCAAGCTCCAGGATTGGCAAACACACACACAAAACTATAACCTAGCACTTTCCACTTCTGGCTCCATTGTTATCAATAGCACTTATCGCTATTAAATATACCATAATAATCCCTCATAATCCAGTTTTCCCTCTTCTGAGCTAACAGGGCTGCTGTGCTGTGTTTACTATTCTATTCCACTGTGTATCATAGGGCCTATTGCTCAGCAGGTGCTCCAGAAATGCTTGTAGAGTGACGAAACCTAGGCAAATCAGTCCAAGTACTATAAAGACAAGGGAGGGGTTAGAAGAGCCCTCTAAGGAGCTGGGTAGTTGAGACACGAGGAGAGTAAGTTTAACACTTTACCACTTAAGTTCCAGCGACTAGAAGAGGCCAGCTCTGCCACCCTTCTCGGCAGCGGCAGCCATCCTGGGCGGGGTGAGATTGGTGAAGGGAAAGAGCCAAGTCAAACAGGCAGTGGAGGGGGGTCTCCACGGCCTGCAGTGACCCTGCAGTGGTGGAAACGATGAGCTTTCGTGATGTGGCTCACACATTAAGCCTTAAAACCTCCAATCAGTTGCTCAATTTAAGACATACTGTAGACTGTGTACAGGATTCATGTGAGCCCTGGTATTCACGCTGCTCTTCCGTGTTGCGTGCCTCTTGCGCACAGTGAGACTGGGCTGGCAGCGCATAGTGGTGTCAGAGAACACTGTTGATATTCTCCACCATGAAACAATGCGGTTGTTGATCAGAAAGTATGTAAAACCACGGGGTTCCATTGGTGGAGCTTCCTGAAGATTACTGTTCCAAGAGGTTAGCATGGGTTGTATCCTGCTGCCATGACGACTGTAGAGTGTCTAGCCAACCAGACCATAATATGTGTGGCTGACTGTAGTGTGTCTTGTCCACACTGCCTCTCGCTGCAGCCCAGGCCCAGAATTCCCCCTTCTTTGGCACACTTTGAGAAGCATGGTCCATCCTTTGAACCTTTGTCCATCCTTGGACATAGCGAGGAGCGGGCACTGCTGCGGCTTTCCTCAGGATGATGGGAAAGCATTAAGTAACAGTTCAATGCCATGTTACTGATTTACTAGAGTCATTCATTCAGTTGAACTAGAAAGACCCTTGGACTGACCACCCTATTGTACAACCAAGAAACAGGGTAGGAAGTAGCTGTGCAGCAGGCTGGAGCAAGATGAGGGGGTCTCATTCCCCCAGCATGCCCCGCCACTCTGCTCTCCATGGGAAGAGCTTGGTGACTGTGGAAGCCTTCAGTGAAGCTGACATGTACAACAGGGGCCAGTGGGCATCCTTTGCTCTTCTTCTACTTGACATCATGCAGTCACTCCAAGTGAGCTTGTTCCCAGGCAAACCAGGGTAGCAGGAGGAGCAGCGCTGGATCCAGGTTCATGCTGCACTGCCCCCCAGTTCTTGAGGAGCCTGTCCGATTCCTTTACCTTCTATAATAGGCTACAGTGCTCCCAGCCTGGGTTATTGTGGGGCTTAAGTCATACTGGAATGTGGTCCTTCTTTGAGAAAGGACATTCTAAGGCCTTTAAAAAGCGTTTGTTGCCTGGCTGTAGCCTAGAGGAAAAGGATTTTTCTTACAAAGTACTTCTGTAGTCATTGTCTTTAACACACCTTTTATTGAGCACTAGTATAACAAGCAGAGGTAGGATCAGTGACAAAGGAGACAAAGGGCTAATTTTTACAGAGCTTATTTGTGGGGACGACAGGCACTAACCAGAGAAACTTAGCATGTGCAATAGCAAAAGGTGTAAGCGCCCTGAAGGGCCAGGTGGAGGCAGTATGGAGGCAATGGTAGGGAGGAGGACTTATTTAAGAAAAATCAGCTGCTTTCAGGGAACAATTGTCTGAGGAATACATGCTTGGTAGAACATTCTAGGCCAAAAAAAGAAAGTTGATGTATAAAGGCCCTGAGGTTGGGTAAGACTCACTACATTTGAGCAATGAAAAAGCCAGTGTTGCTGGAAGATTAGCCAAGTAGGAATAAGAAATGTAAAGAGGACAGGAACTAGATTATGTGTATTATGACCATGATAAAATGTTGGCAATATGAATTCTGACTGTGAAAAACCATTGGGATTTTAAAACAGAACATGAGATGTTGTGAATAGCATTTTAGAAAGAATCACTGACTTATTACAGAAGAACAGAATGTCTAAGGATGGGAGCAGCAGCAAAAAGATCCAATTATAAGATTATTTGTGGTGATCTAGATAAATGATCTAAATCGCCTATATACAGTTACATTTGTGAAGTTTTTATCTCCTTGTGAAACTGTTATCTATCTGGTACTTTTGCATACACTACACATTGGAAATTCTTCTGACCCAGTGAACAAGTAGGGTCCTGCTATCTAGTATGCTCTCATGTCTCTTGTTTGCCCGAGCTCGCTTGGCCCCCTAACTGACTTTTCTTTCAGTGAACCCTTAGAAGCATACATCTACTTTGGTCCTGTGTACTACCAGAAGCTGAAACACATGGTGCTGGATAAAATGCATGCCCGGGCCCGAGGACCACGAGCCGTCCTTACCAGGTAAGAGGATGCAGTCAGACCTCCCGCACTGCCCAGGTGTTGGCAGTGGTGCCTGTGCAACCAGACCAGTCAGAACAGCACAGTCCACACAACTACATGCGAGATGCATAGACAGAACAGACCCAACAATGTTTGTTTTCCTGAGATGTCAAAGTTTGGGCATTCCAAAAAAAAAGCCACTATTTGACTAACATGAATAAAACACCTGCCAGGTGAGAATCCTGTAGTGTGTATTTACATGAATGTATATACATACATGCATGCATATGTACATACATACATAATGTGGAATATTTCACAGCCATAAAGGAAGATGAAATCATGTCATATGCAAGAAAATAGATGGAGGACATCAAATTAAGCAAGACAAGTTTAGCTCAAAAAAGAAGACAGTTGTAAGCTTTCACTCATGTGGAAGCTAGACCTAAAAGACATACACGGTCATAAACATGTATATATGTATGTGTGCATGTATACATAATTAGATAAATGGATAAACACAGCTTGAATCTAAGAGACTGCTAAGGAAGAGAAGGGCATCGAAAAAGAAAGAGTGAATAATTTTGAATATACTGCAACTACTATATGAAGATAGCATAAAGAGCCTCAGTGAAAGCTGTTGATCAGTAGGGCCTGGGGCAGGGCACTGGGGAGAGAAACAGACTCTGTGGGAGGGGTCTGATTGGGAGGGGCTTAGGCTATGAAAGAGGATGAACTGGGGAAAATAGACCTATGAAACTAGAACAATGAAAGCTGTTAAAAAGTGTTTGGGGGAGAGAAAATGATACACAGGGGTGAGATTGATTGGAATATCTGATAAATGTGTGGAAACTAATGCAGGCTGAGAAAGAATTGAAAAAAATAGTTTTCTTAAGCTTAGCATATGTGTATTCATATATAAATATGTTTTAATACGTTAAATAATATATTCTGTTTATATTTTATAATTGTAGATATTTAATATATTAAATAATATGTTGGTTCTGTTTATATTTTATAACACATATTTATTTATAAGTATACTTATTGATATTATTGGTTGTATTATGCAATAGATTTGTATTTTGTGTAAATATATCAGTATATTAGTATAGATTAAGCTTAGTACACACACAGACACAGAGTCCTGGAGCCCTGGCAGGAATTACTTGGAGCCAGGTTGCTACTATAGTCTGTTCTGCTTCATTTACTTGCTTTTAAATAACAGAATACTGAGACATCTCCAGAAGATACTCAAAGACATTATTTCCTGATATCAATGATTGTGACAGTAATACTAATGGTGTTTTCTGGTTCTTTGTGAATATATTCATACTTCCTGTCTGTAATACTATAGTTGTGTCATTTCATTTAAGAACACTTCCAGTGTTCTTTTTCTCTATCAAAGCTCTTTGACCCAGGTGTTCCCAGCAAGGAGAGGGGCAGCAAGCTCAGGGTTACTGACTATGAGTGCTTTGGCTTCAGCTGAGCCCTGTGTCTGTGCTTAGCCTCTCTGTTCAACATAATAATAACAACATTTGTCTAATAACTTGTTTCAAAGGCAACCCACCGAGGGGCGATCTCGTGATGGTGGCTTGCGTCTGGGAGAAATGGAACGTGACTGTTTAATCGGCTATGGAGCTAGTATGCTTTTGTTGGAGAGACTGATGATTTCAAGTGATGCCTTTGAAGTTGATGTCTGTGGACAGTGTGGACTTCTGGGATATTCTGGCTGGTAAGTCAACATGGTCTCTTAGGCCACATCATGCTATATCACTAATAAGTCACAGCTGCAGGACTTCCCCTAGCCCCCTGGTCACAGTCCCATGGTGTCCATATGATCACTGATGTCCTGTCCCCATCCATGCATCCCTGTGGTCAAGAATCTTTAAGTTCATGCTTGTTTTGTCTGTGTGATGCTCTGTGTTCTATACTACTGGAGTTTAAGTTCCCAAGAAGTACAGACTTCATCTCCTTTTTAGTATCTCAATCTTGTAAGAATCCTAGCAGATAACATTGCTAAATGTTAGAATTATAGCCTTTTAAAGAAACTCTTGGGGAAAAAATAAACTTGAAAAACTCATTTGTGGCTTTTGACTCAGAACCAAATACTGCCCCACATCCTACAGGAAATGGTGGAGAGCTAGGACCATGACCTGATGCTCTGATCTCTTGTCTGCACTGCACTCTGCTGTGGCAAGCTGCTTCACACTCGGACTACTTAGTCCATGGGAACCGTGGTTGTCTTAGTCATCATGGAGCCATCAGTGAATATCTGCCAAGTGCTAGGCACTATCTGGACCCCAGTACAGTGGTACACAAGACAGATAAAGGGCCACTCCCACAGCACTTTCTCCTAGATCATTCTGGTTGCATGCTGTTTCCTCAGCCCCTGATTCTCCAGCCTGGAGTCTGGATGATGCTTCATAAAGAAGTAGTTGCCAAGCTGGGCACCAGTGACTCACACCTTTAATCTTACTCAAGGCTGAGATCTGAGGATCACAGTTCAGAGCCAGCTTGGGCAAACAAATCCACAAGTTTCTTACCTCCAATTAATGAGAGTAGAGATGTGGAGTGAGCACCAGCTGTCAGCAAAAAGCTGAGTGAGAATATGAGGTCCTGAGTTCAAGCCCAGAACTAGTTTTTTGGGGTTTTTTTCTAAGTCATTGCTAAATGATCCCCTGCTATTGTAGGCTTGCCAATAAGTAGGTTACATAGAGAGTAGTTTATTATTTCTATAGTGAGCTTGGCATACAAAAGCCAATCATGCTCTTCTCTATTTGTGTAATTACCTTTCCTAGCTGTAATGGCTCTACCTAAGCTCTACTTAACGATAGCCATGATCTAGAGCCCTGAAATCCCTCAGCAGACAAGAGAGCCAGTGATTCCCAGTTCCTACTCATTTTTTTATCAGAGGCAAAGTCTCACAAGGTCTAAGGTACTATGGGGAAGGGTGACAGCCACATCTCTGCGGTGTCCCTCTCACCTGCCCTGCCCAGAGCCTCTTTTTTGTGGAGAGGCCTTACCCTGAGGACATTATGAGCCATCATTGGTAGGGTTGAAGAGTGCATGGGCTACCTTCTTCCCACTGAGTCCTCCAGGGCCTCCTTCCGGACAGTTGAACCTCTGCCATCCTAAGCTGCCAGTTTCTTAGTTGGATAAAGCAAATCAGCAATCAGAACAAGCATTTCCTTAGAACACAGTCTATCCTTGCTAACTAAAGGACAAATCCTTTTAGCTCATTGTTTTATGATTCTGGTGCAGAAGAGTTGATGAGTCCCATCTATAAAGAAATGGTTTCATTTTAGAAGCCAAGAGAAGAGGTAGCCACTTGCAGTTTGTTCTTTTCATAAGCTTGCAGAGATGGGCGACATTCTTCTGAGAAAAAGCCTGCCTCTTTCTTATATCAATGAGATGGGGGTTTGTTTCAGTCCTGAGATGTCCATTCATCTTTTGAAATGCATATTGAGCTTGCTTTTCATAGTCTGAGCAGTGTAACTAGAAAAAAAAAGTAAAGGAAGAAAAGAAATAGTATAATAGGAAGATGTCTGGGACCTACTTCCATGCTTCAATCATCAAATTTGGCACCAGGAATTTTAAGTAATTTTCTTTGAAAATATGATGCAGAAAAGTTATTTCATTAAAAATAGAGGCTATGAAACTTCCAAAACAGTTTTATTATCTTTTTCCCCTTCCATTGAAAGGAAACCGTAAACCAGATTCACTTGCACCCTTTGGACCCCTCTCCTCCCCCCACCCCCACCCCTGCATTCGCAGGTACAGATATAAGCGGGAAGGTGTATATATCAGCAGTATTTTGTTCAATCCCTGGCTCTTCTGCTTGGACTCTGTCTCACATATTGGTCATCTGATGGCAAGGTCTGATTCTGTATATATCCTATGTGCAGACCTTTAAAAGTGACTTGATCAGGTTATACATTTGGAGGATCTTTACTGCAATTAGACAGACCATAATGTTTTCTGTCTGATTTTGAGTGGCTTGCTTGTACCCTGTTACCAGCAGAGAAACATCCTGATCCATTCTGTAGTCAGGCTGCTTGCTCGCGTGCTGTGTTCTGGCCGCTGCCGCATAATGATGCTGTCATTTTTCCCATCATTACCTGATGGCGTGTGAGGCAGAGTGGGAGGAGAGCGAGCACAGGCCTTCCACGCAGGATGGACACCGTCCTATAATGATCCGCACAATGGAGGCTGACTAATTAGAGCAGTGCAGAACCTGGGAGCTGGCCTCCATGGGAGATTCGCACATTAGCAAGGCATTGCTATGGGGAGGTTTACAGTAAGACTGTTGTTCCTTGGAGGACACAAAGGGCAGAAGTCACAAAAGAGAACTCCTATTAAGATAATTAGCTCAGAGAGGACATTTCACTGGACAGTTATTTCTCATGTGTGGCCACAGCCGCCTCCTTGTGCAGCCTTTGTCCTAAAACATTAGTTTACTGCATATTGGGGTCAAGTTTCTTCCTTAGGATGTGTCTCATACATTGCATATCTGTTGAAATATAAGGTGTCTATGCTACATATACATATGCACCTGTCTATACAAGTGTGTGTATATATATGTATATGCATTATATGAGTACATAAATGTATATATACACGCATACATAGTTACTTATGTACTTGACCTTAATGTAGAGATCAACAATGCATGCACACATTTCTTAGCTTTCACAAGGATAACTTTGCTGTACATATAGTAGCTTCAATACTAAGAAATAGCCAAGTCTGAAGAGCTTGATTGGATTCTACTCTCCTGTTCAAAAGTCTTGTCTTTTCCATCAGACTTTATGTATCTCAGGGACAAAATCGGAATTGCAATTCTAGAGCATCTTGATCAGAATCATCAAGTACAGAGCGATTGAGCCAGTTGAAAACTTTTTCAACAACAAAGAAGTCTAACTCCCAGTAAATCTCTGATAGTTCTTATCTCTAGAGCTATTTGAAAACAGTATATAAGCAAATGTTTTTGCATTTTAAAGAGAAAGATCTAGAAATCTGATAGTAGTTACTGATTTAAGTTGCATGCTTTTGAAACCGGAGAGTGAGCTTTGTCCTGTTTTTTATGTTGCCTCTTGTATTTTCTGGTCACGTGTGTGTTTACCAATGTCCGTGAACCCTTAGGAATAGAAAATGAATCCTATGAAGGGAGGGCCTGGCAGAGCAGGTCCTCCGCCCAGGCCTCCCTCTGAGTCGCTGTCCTGCTGACGGTGCTGACTTGGCTTTCAGGTGCCACTACTGCAAGTCGTCCTGCCACGTGTCTTCCCTCCGCATCCCCTATGCCTGCAAGCTGCTCTTCCAAGAACTGCAGTCCATGAACATTATCCCCAGGCTCAAACTGTCCAAGTACAACGAGTGAGCGAAGCAGAGCCGGCAGCTACTGAAAAGACAGCCAGGCCAGTCTGACACCGAGCAAAGCGCAGAGCCTGGGAACTCTCTCCCTCCTCCCCCGTGAACAACTCAAGGGGTTATCTTCTTTCCCCAAAGCAAAACCAACAAAACTGATAGAGAAACATTTTGTGTTCAGAAGACTGACTATTCGACCTTGATCAGTGAGCCTCGAGCCTTGGGAGCCATGTTAACACCATGGACTACAGTGAGGTCTGACACACAAGGGAATGAGGGACATATCCTATCCTATTTGTGTTCTGATAGGCTGAAACTTACTCATGAGAAAGACCTTGGTCTTGAAGAAGGTTTAAGTCCTCCAGTGACCACAGCCCCAGGTTCTCATGAGACTTGGGGGTGTGAAGACTTTTACTTAAATTGTTAGGTGTGGGTTTTGTTGGGACACCTTATCCTGAGCAGCCTGGAGTCTCTAAGAAGTCAATTTGGTGGCCATGAAGTGAGTGAGGTATTCTTATCTGGTACTGTATCCAGAACTGTTTTCCCAACAGTTAAACCTTACCTTTACACACCTCAACTTCATGGTGAAATATAAGTATATTCCTACCTAGTTAAACAAGAATGCTGTCGGCTACTACAACTGTGTTGAGCCATACTGAGAGATAATATTTATTAAATATCTAAACAGAAAGCTGTGGATGCTTTGTCATTTTCTGTCTTCTGACCTTCCTTTCAAGATGTCAGCTGACCGTCCTCCTTTTTAACTTGACATTCTTCCTTACCCATTTCTACTTTGTTCTTAACTGCCCTGCTCTAAAGCCAGATAAATATTTGTACTAAGGATTGTCAGAGCAGCTTTGGGTAACGGTCAAGGGCTACATTCCCAGCATCTCTTCACACCAACAAGAGTCAAAATAAGGCTAAGGATCTGTGTTTAACCAAGTTAAACATCCACAGGACATTTGCACAACCTTTAGTCACCTCAAGCTAACATGTATTGGACTTGAGGACTCAGCCTCATCTCATTTCTTTCACAGTGAAGGTGTAGAAGTCAGAGAGACTTCACTAAAGACCTGCAAGGGAGGGGGAGGGCAGTCCTTAAACAGACTTCACTCGAGGCTGCATAGGACTTTGAACACCTACCTCACCATGCCAATTATTACGAATCTAGCTTTAGAGTTGTCAAAATCGATGGCACAGGAAGATTGTGTCCTCAATTGTATAGGTGTTGTACTGTGCTTTGTGGCTTGCAAGGGAACGGCCGTTGCCAACTCTGCTGACGGTGCAGTGGCTCCGCAGTGCGCTGGGTGTGGCACAAGGACACCATCATTGTCATTCAGTACTGTGCACTGGACTGGGGGTAAGAAGAGAGCAAGACCGGAGCTCTACCACGGGAGATGCTAAGATGTAGGCTTGCCACAGAGGCCATCCTGGGCTCTGAGATTCAGGAGCATCGGAGACCACTGACAACCTGCACTCAGATTCTGGAAGCATTTCTCATGTCTGATGAGTTATCACAGCTAAGGAACTGAGGCAGTCAGGAACAAGGAGCTTCACTGGTAAGGGACCAGCCAGTGGGACTTGGTGATCTGGCTTCTGACAGAGGAGGATTTGTTTATAATTCTATTTTTCAATCACTCAACGTGGCATTTAATCCTAGCTACTCAGGAGGCTGAGATCTGAGGATCACGGTTCAAAGCCAGCCTGGGCAGGAAAGTCTGTGAGATTTTTATCTCCAATTAACCACCAGAAAACCTTAGTGGCGCTGTGATTCAAGTAGAAGAGTGCTAGCATTGAGCTGAAGAGCTCAGGGACAGTACCCAGGCCCAGAGTTCAAGCCCCATGACTGACCAAAAAATTAAAAAATTAAAAAAAAAAATCAAATACAACCGACTAGTTATATTTTTCCTTTTTCTTTTTTATTACTTTATTTTTTCTAGTTCTGAGGATAGAACCCAGGGCTTTGTGCATGTAGGCAGTCCGTATTCAGTTCTATGTTTTTTTATAAGTAAACAAAATGAGAAATGGTTATTTGTTTGTTTGTTTGCCAGTCATGGTTCTACCACTTGAGCCACAGAGCCACTTCCGGCCTTTTCTGCTTATGTGGTGCTGAGGAATCAAACCCAGGGCCTCATGCATGCAAGGCAAACACTCTACCACCGAGCCACCTTCCCAGCCCAGGAAATGAGTTTTTAAGAAAATCCATTCCAGACCATTCTGATCTCCTTGAGGCAATGCATCTTAGGAAATACCGTGTCATAAGACTCGGAAAGTGTGGTATCCACATTGAGACATCTGGTGAAATCCTCTGAGGTTGGTACATTTAAAAACTAGCAGATACAACATTTGGATAGCTGTGTGTATGTGTGCATTACCTATCTTTTGGGCAGTAGTAGGGTTTAAACTCAGGGCCTCGCTCTTGCTCAGTGGCACTCTACCACTTGAATCCCACCTTCAGCCTTAGTTTTTCTAGCTGTTATCAAGATAACAACAAGATGATAACTACAAGATGTAGTCTAGTAGACTTTTCAACCTAAACTGGCCTCAATTGCAGTCCTCCAACTCTCAGAATCCTGGGTTGTTAGCATTGTAGTAATATGCCATGGGGTCCAGTGTTTTCTGAGAAGTACTTTGATAGAAAGAGGTCAAAGGGGCCAGTTTGTAACCCACTGGCAGAATGCCTTTCTACCATACCTGAGGCCCAAGGTTCTATCCCCAGCATCACACACACAGTAAGTTAGTTTTTCTATTTTTGGCAGTATTGGAAAATTTTATACAGTAGATTCCATGTTAGCAATGATGAGGAGCATTTTATAGGCCACCCAAAAAGCACTTCTTAACCAACCTTTTGACAGTATGGAAGTGATATCAGCTGAGGCTAAAACCTGCTGAGAGACTGTGAGCAGCATGTCCTCTGGCAGAATCCAAGCCGGGAAGAGCACACCAAGGGTTCAGAGGTCTAAGTCCCAGACACGAAGGAAGCTCCCTGAGGTGAGCTCGCCTCCACCTTTCCATGGCTTGTTAGCTCAGCCTGCTGTGGCAGAATACCACAGGCAGGACGGCTCAAATGACTGAAAGGTATTTCTTTGCAGCTGCGGCCCAAGTCCAAGATGGCGGCCTGGATAGGTTAGTGTCAGGTGAGGGCACTCTTCCTGGCTGTTGTGGGACATGTTGCTGCACCTCCTCACAGTTCCATTCATTGGTGTGTGCCCAACAGAGGTGCGTATGCTAGTGATGTGTGATTAGTCAGTACATACAAAGTGTTCTGGCAGCATTATTTGTAATAGCCCCTCATTGTAAGTAACTACCTTGCTAATTAAGTATAGAACAAACTCTGATGTTAGTACAGTGGGACACTCTAGCAATGAACATTGAATTTCTGTAGCCTAATATAGTGAATAAATTCACAATTATATGCCATAGGAAGACATGCTATATTAGTTCCTTGTAAGTTGTTAGACAGTATGTACCTATAAGAAGTCCCACTACGCTCTCTATGCAAGTGGGGTAGGGTAGTGATGGCTGAGAGGGTCTCTAGAATATTGGTAAGAATTCTATAAGTTGAGTCTTGATGACCTAATTTTGTTCATTTTATGAAAATTCACTAAGCGATATACATAGATATTTTCACTTTTCTGAATGTCTATTCTTAAAAAAAAAAAATCTACCAGATGCCCAGGTGGCTAAAAGCAGTCTAACATGAGCTCAGTTTCTTTGCTTTATAGAGCAAAGTGAGTATGTTGTATTTGAGGCAACATACAACATACTCACTTTGCTCTTTTAGTTTTCTCATCTTCAGAGTAGAACTGTTGTACCACTCCTAGGGCTGTTTTTAAGATGAAATAAAGCATGAATGGCTTCCTATTGCGCCTCTTGCAAAGCAGGCCTGGACAGATGTCTGCTGTGCTTCACTGGTAATCAGCATGCTCGTGTCCCGAGTAGCACTGTGCAGAGAAGCCCCTTCCCCACAAGCCCTCTCCCTTAAAGCCTCCTCAGCCAGAGTGAGGATGGGCAAACCCAAGTTCCATTGGAAGAGGAAATTTACCAACTGTGCATGGCTAAGCACAGAAGCCATCGGTATCGTTTGGAAATACTACCCTGTTCAGCAATGACATGGAGGAAGGTCAGTGGTAGAGTTCCAGAACACACTTCACTGGAACAACCACATCCAGGACATCAAAGCCAGGCCTGTTGACTGCCCAGGAGTCCCAGCATAGTTTTCCTGCAGCCTAAAGAACGAGTTCTCAAAATGCTTCCATGTGGGGACCAAGTCAAGTAAGGAAGTTGTGTGTGGTTTTTTTCAAGCCCTTGATTGGGTGCTACCTAATGGGATAGTTTTCAGCTGCTCTGCAACAGCCAACACCTTCATCTGCAGTAACGAGTCACAGCGGAGCCAGCACATCAGAGCTAGTAGCAGGGCCCCGCCACAGCCCTCCAAGTAAGCGAGAAGCCAGCTTCTGAGATCTGTAAATAATTCCGCTGTGATATGGATGGTCAGAAAAGTGAATGTAAAAATAGCACCTCTTTACCATCCATATACCATATGTGTCTTGAAAATTGTATTTCACTTGTCGACAGTCACATTTTTGCTACACAAACCCGCACGACACAAGGTAGGTGGGAAATTAAAAATCACACTTTAAAAAGCAGGCATTAAATAGGGGTGAAGGGAGTAACAGTCTCAAAGTTTATATTGTCCTTTACCAAGACCAAGCTAAAGCTACTAATCTGCTTTCAGACATAGGTTCCAGAAGCAATTAAGATCTTTGACATATCAAGTTGTGAGCTGGGTGCAGTGAACAGTGTACAGCATTTTCACTCACAAGTCTCATGTCGCACACTGGGGTCAAAGGAGGTAAAGTACTTTTCAACTCCGGGTAATAGTCATCATTCCATGCACAATAAATTTTAAGTCTGGTTTACTCCCAGCCATCCGTGTTAATGGTGGCAGGGAGGGGCGTGAATGTATTAGAGTGGATTGGACATGGTGGTGAAGTTGGCACTCACACCTTACTAATAAACTTGTGGTGGTTTTGGCAAATTCATCATACTATGAATTGGTCACTCCTATACAAACAGTACTTGAAAAAAAAAACTGGTATTAACCCTCTATCCTTAAGTAATGATGGCATTAAGGAATAATGAGCCTTAGCTTAACTCAGCTGAGATACTGTAGGCCAGATAATCTTCAAAGTGTGGGCCTCAGTACCAGCACGCCAAGCCTGTGGGAATGGAGAACTTGTGAGTGCGGAACCATCACTCTTTTTTTTACCAAGCCATCCTGTTCCAGGATTATAAACTGAGAGCCCAGCCTTGGGACCTTCAAGGAAAACTAGCTTTCCTTCTCTTTTCTTTTG